TGGTATAAGGGTTGCTATGCCGCATTACTGTTACAACTATGTATATTTAAGCTTTATTGTTGTTTCTAGAGGAATAACTTAACTCGAGGTGACGGAAGTGAGAGCTATGGCGTCCGACTATTACGAGTTGGTCTTTTAAACTTTATTTTCTCAGAATTTACTTAAATTCTGGCTCACGATGTAGTGCTTCTTAGATATGAGCGCCATATATTTAACTAAGCATTCTACCAGGATAATTTTTAATTATATTTATTTCGAAGTCCTATTTATGCTAGTAGGTAGAAGAAGGACAAATCACAACAAATTTGACCAGAGAACAACGTGATTATTTAATAAATTTGATGATTTTAAGCATTTCAGCTACAATTCTCTTCTCGAAGCGCTATATGGGAACCTGCGGAGTTCTTATGATTGATGCCGCAAGTGCATCGAATTGTAGTCAATCCTCTGCTCCATTTATTAAGCCAGGTCTTTGACTTTTCAACTGTTCATGCTTTCAGATTAATCCCGACTTTGAGGTTCCATTGCACTTTCGAAATCCCGAAGTCAGCTTACGACCATCGCCTTCTTTCAAGCTTGGACCTCCCCAAAGTCTTGATTCACTGAACTTCCAACTGGTAAGGCCTAGACTCTTTGAAGGAATCTACGTTTCATTCTCATTTAGAGGCAAACGGAACAGCTGTATAGGGCAAAGATTGCACGCATGAGTGAGGAGTTGCGCTTCTTTAGGTAAATATCCTTACTCTAAAATAAATTTTCCCCGTGCATTGCTTGACTGGCTCACTTTTCATTCACTACAGGAGACCTTGTTAAGTGAGATAAATTGCTTAAAAGCTGACAATTTGTGGTCAATCAGAGATGGCATTGTATTGTGAGAACATAAAAATGCAGCGCCTTAAACCTCCCTTGACAGAACGTATTTTCGATATAGGTACTGGCTGTGCAATGTGAAGATAACCTGCCTTATAAGGACTACGAGGCAACGAATGTGATAGGTTTCCATTCTTTGCAATCACGTCCTCTGAATGTAACCTCACCGGTCCTGCTTAGCAGTCTGATCCCACTCGAGGTTTTGCCCTGTTTGAGAGTTGTAGTAAGAAAGGGAAATTTCACCTCCATTTACGCATGTCCATCGTTAGACGAAGGACTGCTGACCTAAAGACAGTCAGTTACCGTGTTGGCCTCGCTTTATTATTGTTCAGTCATGTTTATCTAGTTCATTCTAACCAACTAGTACAGTGGAGGAAGTTGTTGCCTGGTCGTCTGATTGTCGCTTCAATTTTGCACCTGTAGCATGCGCCTCTTCCATCAAAATGCAGAGTACGCAAGTATCTACATAGCTAGGGGTCTTCAAAAAGGAAATTTCTTCTCACTTAGTTAATTCCAAGGTACCGTTTCTGACACATCAACTTCCATCGCCTCCCGATCAATGAGTTGTACAAGGTGGAATTCAACACAGATCGCTATCATGAATTGGATGCACAAAACATACTTTCAAATCATCTAATGCACGTTTTGTTAACACTAAGTAGAACAACTGTGAAAAGGAGAGGTCGCAATGAGCTGTCCAAATCCCTTTCTGATGTCTCGATGGCAGGAGAAAATTCTTCCCTCAAGCTCGCCATTGCTCAGTTAGAAAGGTGAGAGCTTGTTCCTCCTTATTTAATGAGCAGATCTTGGATGTAGTTGCTTCTCCTTCACTTATGTTTGAGTAGTTTGAGTTGAAGTGCAAATGACATACATAATTGGTGTTTGCATTCTCGCAACTTCGATATACAGAATCAACAAATTAATTTTGATGCATTTGAATTTGATAACGGGCAGATAGCATATGATACAGGTTCGTTAAACTTGTTTCTGCCCACATTTTCTACTTGGAAGAGATGCGAACGAATTTGTCACTGCCTCTCCACTCTCAAACTGTCAATGCTCAACTGACGTGATTAAGGCTAGAAAATCACTCCTTTTTTCAACGCAAAGTAGTAAATCGGACAAGCGGAGTCGGAAGCTTTGGAAGTGGACACAATTCGCACGTTGGGGAAGTTTTAGGGACATTTTTCAAAATGAAGGAGGAAGTGGCAAGGCGGACAAGGCAGTCGTGTGTCAATCTGCAACGTCAATTAAATTTAGCAGAAAATTGTAGGAATGCATTAACCCCCGTAGATGACACTTGGCTATCTCTTTGTAAACTTATATTGCGATTTGGCTATTTCTTTGATTTAAAACCTTAAAAGTGACCATCCGTTTACAAAATTTGAACTCCTTTGTTTCGCGCTTGTGTCAGAGAGCAGATAGACCTCCTACGACTTATTCTCCACTTGCGCGATCGCTTAAAGCAAGTTTCCAAGGAGAACGTGGAATTGGCCACAAGGGCAGCCCAGACTAGGGCAGCTGTGGAAACAGCGAAGAGTCAACTAGCCACGGTATGTGAATCACCCTAACATTTTAACCGTAATTCTCAGGCTATCATTCATATCTTGCACTTTGGAAATGAATTTGCCATTTCATAAAATTACTTTTCCTTGATCTTATTGTTAAGTATTTTTCAAACAAATTTTAAGTTATTTCGACCGCACTTTTACTCGTGTGTAGAATGTAGTTCGTGGCAGGACACTGTCGTTGTTTAGCCTCATATTTGATTGGCAATTGTTACTTTCGAATGACATGGGAATGTGTACCCCAAAGCATGGGCGTACAGATGGATGTCTGCCACGTGATAAATGTTTGGACCAGCCAAATCCAATTCTCCAGTACCGGTGAG